TATTGGGCCGTGACCCTCAGCAGCTTCAGCACCGCCTCATTTCTCGGATCCCACGAGCCGAGGGCGCCGACGACGAAGGCCGTCACGACGACACGATATCCTTTTCGTTGTAACTCTTCAGCCAGGGCGTTGTATTTATCGAGTTTCCTCGCCCTGGCCTCATCAAACGCTATCAATCTATTTTCGAAGGGCACCGTGACGTCGCATATGACGACACTTTTGGAGGGCTCGTGCCTGACCACGAGGTCAGGTCGTAGCGCCGCCAAATCGCCGCTGACGCCCTCCACCCGCTGGTTAACCCGCACTACCCCTGGAAGGCGAGTGGCCTTCCAGAGGCGGTGCAGGACAGCGTTGTGCCTCAGCTGTATTGCGGCGGAATGGATACCGCAATGACAGAGCACATGAGGTAAAGTTTCCGATGCTTCACCGCATCGCCGACAGCGCTTATCGTTTGTCTCCCAACGTCGTGCGCCGTTGAGAGGGAGTACGTCTAAGCGGGCCTTGTGTATGAAGCGCCAATCGGCGAAGCGAGTGAAACTGCCGCCACGGATAAAGTGATTGCTCACCCGACTCCGTGACGACACCTCGAAAACCTTACCCTGATCAGGCTTACTAAGTAACCTATTTGCGTAGTGCTCTGCTACAGCTGAGCGCAGCCGATTCACTACCTGGCCGCGCGCTCCAGGCGGAATCTTAATCGCTGCCCCCCTGGGACCTTGACATTGCAATTCCATTTCCCCAGTGGCTTCGGCCCACCGCCACCGCAGGGACAGCCTCCCGGGTTGTCTGAGCGCGCCGTTCCGCGCACTCGACCAGAGCGAAGACTCCCCTCCACCCCTCATCCTTCCATCCTACGAACCGGATAGGAAGGAGGCGATATCCTCGCAACTAGGGGCGTGGCCGATCCTGCGCCCAACCACTCCCCTCAACGATTCCCACGCCAACTCCCTCACGGCGCCATCGCGAACCGTTAACATACGGTACGCGTGGGCTACCGTGAGGACGTCGGCGAGGTCCGAGA